CGGCTCCTCTCCTGCGTTCTTCGTCTGTTGCCCCAGTATCACTGCGATGGATCATATCAATACGTGCCCTTCTTTCTCCACGTTGTAGCATTTCTACATACTCCAGTAGTCGCTTACGAAGCAGCAGCAGCAATATCAAATCGTAAGCCATACGTTTACGTGTACTCAAATAGCCGAAAGCTGCAAGAAGATGGGAACAAGGAGGAGTTGCACTGGGACAGCTGCACAGTCCTGTTGATAAATCGACTAAGCGATTGTCAGATCTGTAGGAAGAAGCATCCACCATCGTCACCACCCACAACAGCAGCAGCAATGACAGCAGCAGCAGCAGCAGCAATAGGACCAGCAGCAGCACGAGTAACAAGCAGAAAAAAGCAACCGCAGCCGCACCAGCGTGAGCAGCAGCAGCGGCACCCGCACGAAGAGCAGCACCAGCAGCAGCAACAGCAATAGCAGTAGCGTAGAGACAGCAGCGGCAGCAGTATCAGGAGTAGAGAGACAGCCGCAGCAGCAGCTGTAGCAGTAGCAAGGATAGCAGCAGCAGCAGCAGTAGCGGTAGCATATAGAGGGCAGCAGCACAAAGGCACCGCCAGCAGTAGAACTAGCATGAAGGGCAGCAGCGGCAGTAGCACTAGCGGTACCGCATACACAGCAGCAGAGGTCACAGTAGCAGACAGAACAGCAGCGGTAGCAGCAGCATGACCGCCAGAAGCCGCAGCAGTATTAGTAGCGGCAGCATACGGACGGCAGCAGCAGTAGCGATAGCGCCTAGACTGCAGCAGTGGGAGTGATAGCATGAACAGCAGCAGCAGTAGAAAAGGTAGCATATACACAGCAGCAGCAGTAGCAGTAGCAGGTAGACTGCAGCAGCGGTGGTGATAGCATGAACAGCAGTAGCAGTAGTAGAGGTAGCATCCAGACAGCAGCAGCAGTAGCCGTAGCGGGTAGACAGCAGCAGAAAGACCAGTATCCTGGACAGCAGCATCAGCAGTAGCATACAAACAGCAGAGAACAGCAGCGGTAGCAGCAGCATGACCGCCAGAAGCCGCAGCAGTATTAGTAGCGGCAGCATACGGACGGCAGCAGCAGTAGCGATAGCGCCTAGACTGCAGCAGTGGGAGTGATAGCATGAACAGCAGCAGCAGCAGCAGTAGAAGAGGTAGCATATACACAGCAACAGCAGTAGCGATAGCAGGTAGACAGCAGCAGAAATACCAGTAGCCTGGGCCAGCAGCAGCAGCAGTGGCATATAAACAGCAGCAGCGGAAGCAGCTGCTGCTGCAGTAGCATTCACAAAGCCAGCAGCAGCACAGCGGTAGCCGCAGCATGACCACCAGAAAAAGCGGCAAAAGTAGTAAGAGCGGCAGCAAACGGACGGCAGCAGCAGTAGCAATAGCAGATAGACTGCAGCAGCCGTAGTGATGGCATAAACAGCAGCAGCAGTAGCAGTAGCAAGTAGACTGCAGCACCGGTGTTGATAGCATGAACAGCAGCAGTGGTAGAGGTAGCATATAGACAGCAGCAGCAGTAGCCGTAGCAGGTAGACTGCAGCACCGGTGTTGATAGCATGAACAGCAGCAGTGGTAGAGGTAGCATATAGACAGCAGCAGCAGTAGCCGTAGCAGGTAGACAGCAGCAGAGAGACTAGTATCCTGGACAGCAGCATCAAACGTAGCATACAAACAGCAGAGAACAACAGCGGTAGCCGCAGCAGGACCACCAAGGCGGCAGCAATAGCCGTAGCGGCAGCATACGGACGACAGAAGCAGTAGCAATAGCAGGTAGACTGCAGCAGCGGTAGTGATAGCACGAACAGCAGCAGCAGTAGTATAGTAGCATATACAGAGCAGCAGCGGTAGCAGTAGCAGGTAGACAGCAGCAGAAACACCGGTAGCCGGGACAGCAGCAGCAGCAGCAGCAGTAGCATGTTAACAGCAGCAGCAACAGCTGCTGCAGTAGGATACACAGCGCCAGCAGCAGCTGCTGCAGTAGGATACGCAGCGCCAGCAGCAGGTGCTGCAGTGACATACACAGCGCCACCAGCAGCACAGGCGCAGAAGACAGCAGCTCCAGTTGCCCTTGAAGCACCAGCGCGCACATAAAGGAAGAGACAGGCGAAGGAAGAAAGTTGTAATCGCAACAATAATATATATATAGAGAGGGAGAGAATGAAAGCCGTAACCCCAACAACAATATACATGCGCATATATATATATATATTAATATGTATATATACCGGGACATATGTGTACCACCAGCAGCTAGTACACTGGAGACATCTGCAACACGCGGAGCGGCAACGGAACGACGGCAGCAGCCCCGGATCCGGGCAGTAGCAGTAGCAGGGGGGCAGCAGCAGCAGCAGCGTACACAGCATCAGTAGCAGCAAAGGCGCAGGCGACAGCAGCTGCAGCTGCAGTATAACAAATAGATAAAAGATACCAGAGCACACAACAAGAGAAGGAACCGCTGCTGAAGCAACGTAGGCGCGCTTAAGAGGAGATGAGGGGCCGACGATGAAGAAGAAGAGACAAAAAGATGAGACGCCTGGAGTCGGCCCTGCTGTCCATTCGTCGCCGGTCTGCATGTTGCAAGTTTGTCCAGTTTCTTACCTCTGCTGCTCGTGCTAAATCTAGATGTATGTATATATGTATAGATATATATGGATATATATATATATATATTTGTATATTTGTATGTGCATCACTAGGTATAGTCATACACGTGTACACACTTCAATATACGCATAAGCACACACTTGAATACACGCATACACACATGCTTGTACACGAAGATACGCGACCCTTCAGTTCCTATGCACTCAAAGATGTACATTCACATATACAATATATATATATATATATATATATATATATGTACAAAGATACACATATTTATAAATACATGAGAGATCAGTTATACAGGTAGTATAACACGTTGTTTTGGTCGCGCATGCGTAAACTCACATCGAGCAGCATACACGTACATATATATATATATATATATATATATATATATATATATATATATATATATATATGACATTCACGTGTACACCTATGTACACAAACGTGCATGTGCATACGTGCATATATGCCTGTATACGTATACGTCTATGCATATATATATATATATATACATATATATATATATATATATACATATATATATATATATATATTTGAAGACGACAATAGGTCTGCGCGCGGATATACAATTCGGAAAATGTAAGCTTGTTTGGTGGGTCACATGTCCACAAAAATTTTTAGAGCAGAGCATCACGTGAAGAAAGGAAATACGGGAAATCTGCGGTGTATACGGATTCATACGTATACACGTACAAAGGGGTGCATACGCATATGCATATATATATATATATATATATATATATATATATATATATATATATAAGGAAGACATACCAGCTCTCCAAGCGAATTGCACCGTGTTTCGCTTACGCACCTGCTTGACAGAAACAGCTCCCCTTCTGCACCGTCGATCAGCCGCGGTGGGCTGACATATCCAGATATCTCTTACCTCTCCCTCTCTCTCTCTATATGTATATATATATATATATATACTTATTTTATACGTACACACAAATATATATATATATATTATATACATATATATGTATGTGCACATATATATATATATATATGCATATATATGTACTATGTGTACATGTACACGTGTAGGCATTTAAATCCACCCTCTACACGTACACTGTCATCCTGCGCAGCGGAAAGGACAGACAGAGAGTTGCGATTCAAGTAGACCCGGAGTTGCAGGGTTACGCGCCTGTAGCTACATCTAAATCTATGTCTACATACATATATGCAAATGCATACGTATATACGTATCTATGTCTATATATATATATATATGTATATATGTATATATATATATGTATATTATATATATATACGCGTAGCATCAAGTCCATATATTGCCTTTCGCGCAATGCAATAGACCTGCCATGCAGAAGCAACAGAGTTGACCAGCTAAAACCTGAGTAAACGAATAGTCGCAGTCGGTACATCTCCGACCCTACTCACACATATGCATATATATAAATGGATATAAATAAAGAGACAGATACATATATATATATATATATATATATATATGCGAATCAATGTATTGTTTCCTCGGCGCACTATAGACATGCTTAGCAGGAACAACAGATAGAGCGGCCGCAGTCGGTACATCTCCGACCCTTAATCACACATATGCATATATATATAAATAAATATAAATAAAGAGACAGATACATATACATATATATATATATATATATAGATAGATATCCGAATCAATGTATTGTTTTCTCGGCGCACTATAGACATGCTTAGCAGGAAAAACAGATAGTGCGGCCGCAGTCGGCGCCTACCTATGCCTAGGCCCATTTACGTTTGTATGTGCGTATATGGTCTCTTGGGAGATATATACGTATGCGTACGTATTCACATACTATGTCTTTGAGTATATTGTTGACTTACGTATCCGAAGCAACAGAGTAGAGGAAGGGAGCTTTGAGAAGACGAACGGCAGCAGGCGCAGCGTAAACGCGGTTGGTGTAGCACAGAAATAGGCGAAAGCTCTATCCTCCTCGTCCCCGGTTCCCCACACGCCACTGCCGCTGTAGCTGCTGCTGCTGCTGTCGCTGCTGCCGTAGCTGCTGCTGTAACTGCCGTTCCTGCTGCTGCTGCTGCTGTTCCTGCTGCTGCTGCTGGTATTGCAGGTGTTGATTTGATAATAGTAGAAAGGCATAACTCCGTCTTGTAGTGCGAGAAGTCGGCAGGCCTTTCGGAAGGGTCCCACGAACTGAGGCGAAGCACCGTCGCCCACTAAGCAATCCACGCACTCGTTGTAGAAATCAAATAATTCAGTTTGTTCCTTTCCTGGTACTTGTCTGTGATTATAATCGTAACTAGCAGATAAAACGCGGGGCATAAGCTTCCGCTGCTGCAGCAATCGCTGCTTCTGCTGCATCCTACGCTCGTTATTCGGCCAGTTCTGGGACGCAGACATCTGTTGCTGCTGGTGCTGGTGCTGCTGCTGCTGTTGCTGCTGCGGTTGCGGTTGCTGGTGCGGTTGCTGTTGCTGCTGTTGTTGCTGTTGCTGCTGCTGTCGCTGTTGGTGCTGCTGTTGCTGTTGCTGCTGCTGTTGCTGTTGTTGTTGTTGTTGCCGCTGCTGTTGCTGCTGTCGCTCCTGCTGTTGCAGTCGCTGTTGCTGTGGTTGCTGCTGCCGCTGGTGTTGCTGTAGTCGCTTCTCCTCCTCCTGCCGCAACTGCGCAGTTTTCTGCCGTATTCTTTTCATGATATCGAAAGCAACTGTATCATCTCTGTATCTCTGTCGCGCTGCAGCAGGTCTTTCTTCTCCCTCTCCTTGTCCTTCCCTTCCTTTTTCTCGTGTTGCTGCTGTTGTTGTGGAAGACCCGCCACCACCCCTTGGCGTTAAAGGAGCAAGGCCATATCGAAACGTCGATTCTGCCGTTTTCGTATCACCCTTGCTAGCTGTCATGATAACACCCTTCCTTATGTCTCTGTGTTTCCTGCTGCTGCTGCTGTCGCGGCTGCTGCTGCGGCTGCTATCGCTTACGATAAAGCATTCTGCTTCCGGCCTAGAAGACGACACATGAGGAGTTGCTGTTCTATGAAGAGATGGATCTGCTCCTGCGGCTGCTGCTGTTGCTGCTGCTGCTGCTGTTGTTGCTGGTGCTGCTGCTGTTGCTGCTGCTGCTGCTGTCGCTTCTCCTTTGATAGGTCCTGCATGAGCAGGCCCCAGCACGTCTCCGCCCGCCGTCCCTCTACCTTCTGCTGCTGCTGCCGTATCTGAGGGAGAGCTTGCTGCATATGCGAATCTCGCTGCTGCAGCACCTGCGGCGGCCCCCGCTGCTGCTGCATCCACAGCCGGAAAACGGCGGGAAGCAGCAGCACCGGAACAAGCCGAAGAAGAAGAGAAAGAAGAAGAAGGAGAAGAAGAAGAAGAAGAAGAAGAAGAAGAAGAAGAAAAGGGAGAAGAAGAAACGGCATTGCAGGCAGCGGCAGGACCTGGCCGAAGCCCACCCGGCGGAGAGGAAGGAAAAGAACAGTAGCTGCTACCTCTGCGTCCTCCATACTGCTGGTATTGCTGCTGCTGCTGAAAAGGCGGCCGCCGCTGCGCCTGGTTCGCGTGAAAACCCTGATGCGGTTGCCAGTGCTGCTGAGGCTGCTGATGGTAATGCCGCCTGTACTGCTGGTGCTGCTGCTGCCCGGGCTGGTGCTGCAAGTACTGCTGCTGCTGCTGCTGTTGTGTTCCATGCGACAGCTGCTGCTGCTGCTGCTGCTTGTAATATTGCTGGTGCCCAAAATGACTGGAATGCTGCTGCTGCTGCTGCCCCGGTAGGTACCCACCCGCAGGCGGTCGTGACTGCCGCAGAGCCTGCTGCTGCTCCTGCTGCATTTGGCGATGCTGCTGCTGCTGCGGCTGCTGTATTTGCTGCTGCTGTGGCTGCTGCATTTGCTGCTGCTGTTGCTGTGGCTGCTGGGTTTGCTGTTGTTGCTGCATTTGCTGCTCCTGCTGCCTTTTCTGCTGCTGCTGCGGCTGCCTTTGCTGCTGGTGCTGCTGCTCCTGCCGCTGCTGGTGCGACTGCTGCGGCTGCCTTTGCTGCTGCGGCTGCCATTCCTGGTACTGCGACCTTTGCTGCGGCGGCTGCTGATGATGATGGCGGGGCCGGTAATAGAAGCCCCCGCGTGAAAACGAAGCCCCAGCAGCAGCTTCTCCCCCATTTGCTGCAGCATTGAAATGAGAAGAAGCACCAGGAGCAGAACGAGGAGGAGCAGCAGCAGCAGGTCCAGCAGCAGCAGCAGCAGGTCCAACAGCAGCAGCAGGGCCAGCAGCAGCAGCAGCAACAGGTCCAGCAGCCGCAGTTCCAGCAGCAGCGGGTCCAGCAGCAGCAGCGGGTCCAGCAGCAGCAGCAGCAGGAGGCAACGGTCTCATTGCGAGCGCGCGGACTTAAGTGGAGAGAGAAGTGTTATTGCCAGAAGAAGGCACGGCAAGCCTTTGCCTATTTGTACACGCGCAAGCAGCAAATGAAAAAGAAGAAGAAGACGAAGAAGAGGAAAAAGAAGAAGACGAGCAAGAAGAAGAAGACGATGAAGAAGAAGAAGACGAAGCAGAAGAAGGAGGAGGCGGACAAGGAGCAGCAGGACGAGGAGGGGAAGGAACAGACGCTGAGCTTCCGATATCCATTATTCTCTCTTTTCCATATCTGATATATTCTAGTACTGTTCTATTTACTCACGCAACAGTAATACCCGTCAAATGCTATCGTTTATATATTGAATATACCGTGACAGATACAAGATACGTAGGCTGACTGCGGCTGCGTATATATATATATATATATATACATACATGTATATATATGTATATATATATACACATATATCTATACATATATATACAGAGACGCAGAAAGACGCATGCACAGGCAGGTAGATACCAAGACGAATAGGCAGATACATACTTCTACGTATACACGCATACACCTGCGTACAGCCGACGGCGATACTATGAAAGTATATGTAGATATGTACTTGTTCATGTATGTGAACACGCATGTAAACACATGCATGAAGCTCGACTACAAATTGAAGCCTAGAAAGAATTTCATGCATGCAGTCGAAGAAAAAAAGAGAATCTGTTTCTTTCTGGGAACATATCCGGCATGTGTACGCTTCAAAGAGGACAAGCAGGCTTCCATGATTCATACATAAAATATGCAGGGTAAACACAATAATTATACGCGTATTCCGCCTTTCTTTGTAAGTGCCCCTTTTCAGAACTATAAGAAAGCCGTAGGAGAGATTGCATGCATACAATCGACGAGAAAAAAAGAGAATCTGCTTCTTTCTTCGAACAGAGCTGATGTATGGACGCCCCGTAAAGACGAGGGAGAGGGGCTTCCGTCATGCCTTTATGAGATACGCAGAGTGAAGGGGCCCGCCTATCTCACTCTTTTTTCCCGGTTTTTCTTGGCAACAGTATAAATTGGGGGGTAGAAAGAATTGCATGCATGCAATCGACGCGAAAGCGGGAGAACCTGCCTCATTCTGAGAACGGATCTGATGTATGCACACCCAAGAAAGACAGAAAAATGATGTGTGCGTACATAGCACCGCTGTGAGTTTATAAAAGTAAAAATTTTGAAAATAGAAAGGATATCACACAGCACTCGACGTGAAACAGGGAGAAGCTGCTTCATTTTGCGAGCAGATCTAATGTATGCACACCCAAGAAAGACAAGAAGATGATGTTTGCGTACCCAACACTGTTGTAGATTGGTCAGACGCAAAGGATGCATGCGTGGACGCCTCTCTGTAAAGTGGGCATCTGCAGAGAAGACGCGCATGTACACAACTGTACTGTAAATGGAGTATAGGCAAAGAAGACGTATATGTACATGAATCTAGTGTAAATTCATTACACGTAAAGAATATATATATATACATACACATACTTATATATGAATATGTGCGTAATTGTGCTGTAAATTGAGTGCAGGCACACAGGATATATATGTGCATACCTCTGCTATCTGCAATATACTGGGAAGTCGTTATAGCCAGTGAAGATATACGTACACATAGCGCTACAGTACATTTATTACGGGTGAAGAAACTATACATGTACATAACTCTGCTGTTAATTGCTTACAGGCAAAGAAGACATATGTACATAACTCTACTATTGGCAATACATACTGTAAACCCGATAATAGGCAAAGCAGATATCGAGGTACAAAAGTCTGCTGTACACTGCTTATAGGCAAAGGGGCTATCTGTGTACGTGCCACTACTGCAAATAAACCATAAGCAAAGAAGATATATATATACATATATACGTTACTCTCCTACTGGCCTTGAATATATGCACATATATGTGTATATATATATATATATATATATATATATATATATATGTATATATATATATATATGTACCATATACTTCTAACTGAGCACTCAGACATATAACTATATGATATTACGCACTTACTGATTATAGGCAAACAAGAGATATATACACGCGACTCTAATACCGGGAGAATCCAACTGAAATGAAATGTAGGCAAGTAATAGGATCATCAGTCCCACGTATTTCTCCTACAGGGGGAACCCACCGCAAACACTTTATAAATAGAGAAGAGAACCACCAACCCCACATCAGGTGCTACTACTATTAATACGTCAGCACTACTACAGTTACATCCTACCCTTACTACGTCAGTACTACTGCTACCACATACTACTGGAGAATTCACGAGACACATCTATTTCTGTTTTGCAGACATACGCGCACGCAGAGAACAGAGAGAGTGTGTTCCGTCATGTTTTCATAAGGAGAGATAAAGTCAAAAAAAGACTTCAACGATACCCAGGAGTGTCTGTCCCCATATCATGAAGAGAGCGTTATCTCCACAGATAATCTTCGGTGGCATGGCAAAAGCAACAATGAAGGAATGATGGGCGAAAACAACAGAGAAAGTCTGTTTCGTCATTTTTTTTAAGGAGAGATACAGCCCAAGAAAGACTAACAATACGCAGAAGTGTCTTTCTCTGTATCATGAAGAGAGAACTAACTCCAAAGATAAACTTCGATGGCATGAAGAAAGCAACAATGCAGGAATGACGGGCAAAGCCGAAACTCTATTCCGCAGCAGTTTCCACTTTCGTCGAGGGAATACTGGAGAAGCGAATCTATTTTTCTCCTGCATACCCGTGGCTG